GTCTGTAAACCGAGGTGAAAGCCATTTTGAAATACAGTGCTTCAGAACGAGATATGTCCGGAGAACAGCTGAAGGTAGAGACAGCAAATTGAATAAATGTTGAGCCTTTACTAGAGAGGGGATTGCATTTGCTGCGAACCTAACGTACGTTCGCTGTCGTTGCCAAAGCGACCTGCATGCAAGGGAATACAATGATTGGATTACAATACAAAAAGTCACTGATATTCTACCTTCTTGCTGTTCACTGAGCAAATTCGTGTACCGATAACGGGGTCCTGACTTATTTTCAGGACGAAACCGATTCGAATATAGACCGAATTCAGTTCTTCTAGGCAACTGCTGGGATACACTGATAAAGTAGACCACGACCGTTTCCGTGTACATCCTTTCCAGTTCATTAGACTCTTCGTTAGTCAGCCTATTATTCGCCGCTGTAGAGTCGGATTTACTGATAGCGTCGTTATATAAACCATAACCATCTTTTGATAAATCGGTTTAAGAATTCTGAACATTTACAGAGCCTTCGTCCTTGAACTGATTCAACTTTATTTATTTATATATTACTAGGGTAAAAGGTCCGTTGAATTTCAGGGAGAAAGTCATTTTGTGTCTCCATCCCATATTATTCTTGTACCCGTCTCTCCCTTACTAGAACTTCTAAACTCTGCCTGTGTTTAAACTGTAACCATGGCAACCATATTATATTATGTAGTGATTATTATCGATAATAGAGTGCAGCACAGGCTCGCTCAGTTACATAATTCGACACAATTTTTAAAAATTGGTTTATTGGGTTTATTTGTTGGATAGCGTTGTCCAGTTATACTTTATCCACAGCCTATTTAAATGTATAATCAATTTAAGAATTACATTAACTACTGCACGCTCAACTGAATTTTATATTCAGATTATTTTGAATTGGATCAGTGGGATGGGTACATGACTGCCGCTCTGCCCCCCAGTAGTCACATTTGTTAGCCCTCGCTCGCCCTAGCGATTTTTTTAAGGATAAGTACGGCCTGACGTCTGTTGGGGGCGAAGCTCAACTGGCGGGAAAATGCTAGCTCAGTTCATGTAACATCTTGATCGGATCAGTACCTGGCCGCGTGCCAGCTCCTTGAGGGCTGCTACTAAAAGATTCTGTTATCCGCGTCAAAATATTACACTTTTAAGATCCTTTCTTTTGTGTACATCAGACGTTTAAAGCTCACAAACTCCACTTCTCTCCAGATACATCCATTTGATTATATAACTGGAAATGGCATTTGTGTTCCGGGTGCTGAAACAGATTAGAAAATAAATGACAGTCACAGGACATTAAACTAAAGTTTATATTTGTGTCCAATTTCAAGGCATCGATGTGAAATTCAAATGAAGCGTTCAGTGGCCAAGTTATTCTACGGTGTGTGCAGTTACTTGAACAGAATGCAGTCACCGTCAAGTCTTTCATAAAAATTGCCACCAGTGACGATATATGTATTTTCTTATGTAAAAAAAGTAACTGCTGTAAGCGGTCCGAAGTTCAAAACCTTTAATGTTGCAGTACCCGAAAAGTCATCGCGTCTCTTGATATTTCATTCAAACTGTCTGGCTTTCACAAAAAAGAAATTATACTAATTACTATGAAAACAAATTAATTCTATGCTTCAGAGTCCTTCGTGAGAAGTTGACATACCCAGCTTACAGTATAAGCCCTGTCTATTATGGAACCCGAAACTGCATTACCATGTTCCCAAGATCCCTCCGCCCTCCCGTGTCCTAAGCCACATTTATCTATTCCACATCTTCCCAGCTTCTTTCTGTACTTTCCCATTTATTATTTACTCACACCCACGCAAACTTCTTCCGTGTGGTTTCCTCCTTTCAGACTTCCTGACAAAAATGTTTTAGGCATTTCTTATTTCTCATCCCATGCAGGCTAAGCGACCAACCTCTTTTATCTTAGTTTTTGATCACTCTAATAACATTTGGTAAAGAATGGAATTTGTGTTCTAAATTACGCGTGAAACATGAGGTACAGTGTCTAGGTCCTTTGCAGTCTCGCCGACACGCAGTGCAAATGGCTGCAGTATAGCCGTGTATTGTCGACTTGCACTTACAGCAAGAGAAGGAGGCGAGGGTCTTACCCGTAGGGAAATGGAGAGAGTCGAGCTGGGTCGGTCTGTCTTTGTGACGTACTCTACCGAAATTTGTCTGTAGGACGTTAGTGAAGACAGAGTCGACTCAGGCAAAGTTGAGATTGCTGTGGTGAAAACAGGGCTGTACCTGTAAGATTTGAGGTTTTCACAGCAGTGAGTATGAAGATTTCTGTCTTCTGGGTTGTTGCGCTGTGTAGTCTGGTCGATGGTAACCAACGTTTCAGAGGTCATACTGTGATATTATATCATCGCCCTGATGATGGAGGCAGTATGACCTCTGAAACGTTGGTTACCATCGACCAGACTACACAGCGCAACAACCCAGAAGACGAAATCTTCATACTCATCGCCCTGATGATGGAGGCAGTATGACCTCTGAAACGTTGGTTACCATCGACCAGACTACACAGCGCAACAACCCAGAAGACGAAATCTTCATACTCATCGCCCTGATGATGGAGGCAGTATGACCTCTGAAACGTTGGTTACCATCGACCAGACTACACAGCGCAACAACCCAGAAGACGAAATCTTCATACTCATCGCCCTGATGATGGAGGCAGTATGACCTCTGAAACGTTGGTTACCATCGACCAGACTACACAGCGCAACAACCCAGAAGACGAAATCTTCATACTCATCGCCCTGATGATGGAGGCAGTATGACCTCTGAAACGTTGGTTACCATCGACCAGACTACACAGCGCAACAACCCAGAAGACGAAATCTTCATACTCATCGCCCTGATGATGGAGGCAGTATGACCTCTGAAACGTTGGTTACCATCGACCAGACTACACAGCGCAACAACCCAGAAGACGAAATCTTCATACTCATCGCCCTGATGATGGAGGCAGTATGACCTCTGAAACGTTGGTTACCATCGACCAGACTACACAGCGCAACAACCCAGAAGACGAAATCTTCATACTCATCGCCCTGATGATGGAGGCAGTATGACCTCTGAAACGTTGGTTACCATCGACCAGACTACACAGCGCAACAACCCAGAAGACGAAATCTTCATACTCATCGCCCTGATGATGGAGGCAGTATGACCTCTGAAACGTTGGTTACCATCGACCAGACTACACAGCGCAACAACCCAGAAGACGAAATCTTCATACTCATCGCCCTGATGATGGAGGCAGTATGACCTCTGAAACGTTGGTTACCATCGACCAGACTACACAGCGCAACAACCCAGAAGACGAAATCTTCATACTCATCGCCCTGATGATGGAGGCAGTATGACCTCTGAAACGTTGGTTACCATCGACCAGACTACACAGCGCAACAACCCAGAAGACGAAATCTTCATACTCATCGCCCTGATGATGGAGGCAGTATGACCTCTGAAACGTTGGTTACCATCGACCAGACTACACAGCGCAACAACCCAGAAGACGAAATCTTCATACTCATCGCCCTGATGATGGAGGCAGTATGACCTCTGAAACGTTGGTTACCATCGACCAGACTACACAGCGCAACAACCCAGAAGACGAAATCTTCATACTCATCGCCCTGATGATGGAGGCAGTATGACCTCTGAAACGTTGGTTACCATCGACCAGACTACACAGCGCAACAACCCAGAAGACGAAATCTTCATACTCATCGCCCTGATGATGGAGGCAGTATGACCTCTGAAACGTTGGTTACCATCGACCAGACTACACAGCGCAACAACCCAGAAGACGAAATCTTCATACTCATCGCCCTGATGATGGAGGCAGTATGACCTCTGAAACGTTGGTTACCATCGACCAGACTACACAGCGCAACAACCCAGAAGACGAAATCTTCATACTCATCGCCCTGATGATGGAGGCAGTATGACCTCTGAAACGTTGGTTACCATCGACCAGACTACACAGCGCAACAACCCAGAAGACAGAAATCTTCAGGGCTGTACCTCATTCAGACGAATTGAGAACATAATCGCGTTTCTTGAGTTGAGATCGAAACACTCGCCAACTCGGCGATGTCATGAACTGTCTTTCTTGTCCGTCACGAATTGTGGAGCGGAACACCTGACGTATACACTCTTAATTTTTGAGCACTGACATCGATGCTGTAGCCTGGAACTGATTTTTCTTTCATTGATATTTGCAGTCCGCATTTTACTTCAGGCTCGGATCACAAACTGATCGCTAGCCAGAGACCCCCGCGAGATTCATACTCTGACAGAACATAACCAGAATGGCGTAAGAAAGACAACATTTACATACTTCTGATACGACATTCCAAACTCTTATTTGTGTTTCCGGGTTTTCATACGCGTATAGCCACTCAAACACCAATTAGAATGATGATATTCTAGTTTTTTGTTATATTATTATTAATATTATTGCGTATGTCACTAAAAATGGAGGAAGGGGTGCTAACAATGAACTAACAGAAATGTATTCTATAGAATATTTGACTACATTTACCAAAAAGGCGGATTTTTAGTAATTAAGATGCAATTCTTATGCAGACTAAATGTTGGTTGACAAAACACCTTTAAAAGTAAACTTCGAGGTAAGAGATACAAAGTGATTAAATGCGCGCATAGATTAACTTTTCAGGTCTCTTATTACCTTTTTATGTCTAGATTTACAGTCACTGATTGCTGACATTTGATACTGTCGTTTAACACCTTAAAAACAGATAGGGCGGACGAGTGTCTCCATTACATAAAACCTTATCAGATTCAGTCCAAGGCTTCTCGAGTTATGACGCACGACAGCTTGAAAATCCCTGGTGTTTAATTGCAAATAAAACCTCAAAACTTGTGTTGAGAGTCTGCCGGATACAAGGCAGTTGTAAAGACCCTACAGCGTTATCTGATACTAGCCATTTTGTTTGTCCCTGCAGGTAGCTTGGATCCACATAGATCGACAGATGATCCTAACCATACATCGCCACGTGATAGCACGCGTGCCTCGGTTCAGCGTGTCGCACGACAACCAGAAAACATGGCTGCTGCACGTAACTGGTGTCCACCAGGAAGACCGTGGCTATTACATGTGTCAAGTGAACACCAACCCCATGATCAGCCAAGTGGGGTACCTGCAAGTTGTAGGTTGGTCTGACTCTTTATTCTCCCACAAAGTCCCAATATATTATGAGCTCATCTTAATAGTATTTACGAATTCACCATTACAAAGACCAACTGGTTCATAATGCTTCAAGAAATAATCGCTTATTATGTTGGGTATTGCATGAATAAATACAAAATTCAATTTTTCATTAGGATTTGGGGTTTTTACGGCGGTGAGTCAGAAGATGGCTGTCTTCTGGGTTGTTACGCTATAAGGTCTGACGATCGCCCTGATGATGGAAGCAGCATGGACCTCTGAAACGTCGGTAAACCTCTGCCAGATTACACGGCGTAACAACCCAGAAGACAGACATCTTCAAAATATGAACAATTCGCTAAAATGTCTGAGAAGAAATACAGGATTCCGTGACATCTGTACGGCTTCTATATAAAATATAATTCTGCTACAGTCATATTAATATCGTTTTGTCTTATTTGGAAATGGCTTTGGTCCATATTGAAGCTCGTTGATGTCATTTTAATCTACCACAGATACCAGCAACTTCAGTATCGCTTAACGAAACCACTTCGAGGCCATTATACGCTAAGACTATGCATATCATCCTCTCGAGTTGAACAAATATTTATCATGAACTGTAGAACCAGCCTTAATAAACCCGCCTCAAAGTTATTGTTGGTTTCAAGTTGGGTATATAAGCTAGACTCACTTAACCCGCGGTGCAGATGTAATGTATACGCTCAGAAACTCAAACTTTAGCGTCAATACATCATTTCGAACTTGGGTTTTCCCCCTCGACAACGAGTGCAATGTCATCAGACGCTCAACACGCCATTTTAAACATGTTCCTCCAACGTTTAAATACGGCTGTAGTGGCGTTGGTCTCAAAGTGTTTCGGACAAGCAACGTTAGACTGCAGCTCACTCCATTAAAATTGCTTTGCGGATAGTTGGTATGCATGATGGTGATCCCTCCTCTGCCACCACTACTTCTACTAATACGTCTTCCTCTTTGTTGATCAAGCGCTGAGAGCATCTTCAAACTACCTGCTGCAACTTCAAAGAGAAGCAGCCATGAAATTACTTGTTTCGTGCCTTCGTATCTTCGTGCGCGATCTTCACACTGTTGGTATGACTGCTACATACCAGTAAACATTCAAATTCCGAGCGGAAAATAAATTACTATGCTATTTAACTGCTTATGTTACTTTTAGTAGTTGCATTAAAGATATACACTCGTGTACAGAGAACGTGCTTCAATTACGACTCTGATTTCTTCATCAGTATGATTTACGCTGTCTTGTGCTCATTTGCATATTTATTATAAGCTGATACGTGACACAACGCCAGATAGCCTGGACTTGTTTGTCTTTGTGTCCTTACATTTTAGTAAAATTTCATAATTCGCTAACTGATAACGGATAACATTTTTTGTGGTAAATCGATTCTAACAATTTAATTTGAAAATT